CTCAGCCTCAAAAAAGAGTTGAGACAATGGACCACCTCCCTCCTTTCATTACTGAGGTATCGAACAATGGGTTTGTATCTTCTGTTAGATCTGTTTGAGGGACTGCTTAGTTTTGCTGAAGTGTTTTTTTCTTTCTTTTTAATATCTTTGTTATAATAACAAAATAATTACAATGGCAACAATAACAACAACTATCATTTATATAACATTTTCAGGTTGGCAAAGTGCTTTACAAATATATTCTCATTTTATCCTCACAACAACCCTAGAAGGTAGGTGCTATTATTATCCTCATTTTAAAGATGAGGAAATTGAGGCAAATGGAGTTTAAGTGACTTGGCCATAGTAATACAGCTAGTAAGTATTTGATGTAAAATTTGAACCCAGGTTCTAGGCTCATCTACTGGGCTACCTAGTTACCTCAAAAGAGGTATTTCTGTAAAGAGATGATCATTGAATCTATGAAAACTACTAAGTTCACTAAAAGAGGGGATATAAAGAAGAAAGCCCAGAAGAGAGTCTTAAGGAATATACCTTGTTAGAGGGAGAGTCATGAGTGATGATATAAAAAAAGGGACTGAGAAATGATCCAAAAGGTAGGAAGAAAACCAAGAGAGAGCAATATTGTGAAAACTCTGGGAAGCAGAGACTATCTAGAAAGATGAGATGGTTAATAGCATCAAATTCTGCACAGGGGGCAAAGAGGAGGATTGAGAATAGGCCATCAAGTTGAGTAATTAAGAAGTTACTAGTAAGCTTGCAGAGAGCAATTTCAGTTCAGTCATAAGTTTAAAAGGCACAACAGAATAAGTAGAGATGTAAGTAGGAAGAGGGGAAATAGAAGCAACAAGGAGCACAGGAGCTGACCCTGCCCCCACCCCCACCCCGCTAAGAATCTGGCTATGAAAGGGAAAGGGGGAGCAAAGTCTTAGGGGAGGTAGCAGAATTAAATGAAAGATTTTTAAAGGATGAGGTGAGACCTTGGGCATGTTTGGAGATAACAGAGAAGAAGCTAGTAAGTGATTTTTTAAAAATGATGATCAGAAGATCAGACAGAGATGGAATGATTCAAAGAGGAATTGACAGAAAAGATAGGATCAAGTGAATTGGTTGGCATTGGCTGGAAGGACCACCTCTTTCCAGCCCCCTTATCATTTGCCTATCATTACAATAGGCTCCTAACTGGTCTTCTGGCCTAATTGGCCTCCTCCTCCTCCCTTCTTTTCAATCCATCTTCCACGGAGCTGCCGAAGTATTCTTTAGATTTCTTAAGGCAGAAGTCTGACCATGCTACTTTACTGCCCAGCAAACTCCAGTGACTCTCTATTACCTCTAGGATCAAAAGCAAAAACTTTTATTTGACATTTCAAGCCCTTAGCAACCTGGTTCCAATATATCTTTCTAGCTTTTTTTTTTTAAACCTTTCTCACACTCTATGGTCCAGATAAATTGGACTTCTTGTTATTCCTCATTTGTGACACTCAGCCTCCAGGATCTGTTCCTTTTCACAGACTTTTCCTCATGCCTGGAATGTACTCTGTCCTCCCCTCTGCGTCAGAGAATTCTGTAAAATTTCCTGAAAAGCTTATCTCAAAAGACTACTTTTTACATAAAGCCTTGTGTACCTGTTGTTTTCCTTGATAAAACCATAAGCTCCTCAAGGGCAGGGACTAGTGGTTTTGTTTTTGTTTTTGTTTTTTCCCCTTTTCCTTTGGTCTTTGTACTTCTAGTGTCCAACATGCTTCCAGGCACCAAACGGGCACTTAATTAAATGTTTGTTGATTGACTAAATGATTTCTCAGAGACTGGTGAAAAGGATGAGAGAGTGGGTGAGAGTGTAGATGGATCTGAGGTAAATAAAAAGGAAAAAGGGGGAACTCAGAATTGATATCCTCTATTTTTTTCAGTAATAGCAGTTTCTCTGTTGGATTTTTCTGATAAGAAAGCTTGATCAGCTACTTAATTGATCATTTTTGTTTCTTTTTTTAGAGAACTTGTTTCTTCACCTAACTTGTCTACTTGTTCACTGGGGAATCAATGGATCTAAGTAAATAATTTTCAACTGATTTGCAGGGACAATTTATCTATTTTTCTTCAGGCTTATATTATTCTTCCATTTTTGTATTTTTTATTTACATTAAAGTAATAGTTCCTTGCCAATCATACAACTAAGCCCCTAAATTTTCCTCTAAGGTGCTATATCAGGTGATAATGTTTCTCAGGATTAATCTCATATTTCAAAAGGTTATTTAGTGTATAGAACTTAAAGTCATTTTTAAAAAAATCATATCTTAAAAATTTTATTTGCTAGAAAATTACCCAATCTCTTAAGTTCCTCATTCAATTCTGACTTTTGTGTGGGTCTGCACTTTGGAAGTGTCACAAAAAACATGGATCCCATTAGTTAGCCTACCTATTCCTTTCATTTGTCTTCCTTTAAAGGATGAGATTGTAGGTTTGAAAAGTAATAAAAGAGGAAAAGAGTAAACCGTATTTTTCAGAAATCCTGAAAAAATATTTGACAAATTAAATAAGAAAAAATAGGCTTTCATTTTCCCCACTCCTCCCTCCTATCCATGACCCATTTTTTGTTTTTTTAATTTCTTGGTATTTTTACTAAAATGTTTCAGCTAGTGAAACTTTATCTGTTTATAAAGAACTTTTAAAATGGAGAGATTGAAAAGCATTACACATTTTGCAAATATAATAATGTACAGTAAAATCTCATTCATTCTGGCAGATAACTCAGATTTTGAGGTCAGTTTGAGAGAAGCCATGCAGAAATTTACTTTTGCTTATCATTCATTTAAAATGCAAACTATTAGTGTTAAGGTTGCAAAGGAATATTTAAAATACACAAAAGAACAAACTTTTCAGTACATGTAAGTTCTTCAGAAGCAATATTTACGTGGTCTGTGAACTCTTTTAAAAATATATTTTGATAACTATTTCAATATAACTAATTTTCTTTGCAATCCTATGTAGTTTATTTTATGCATTTGAAAACATTGTTCTGAGAAAAGGTCCAAGGGCTTCACCCGACAATCCAAGATACAAAATAGGTTAAGAACCTTAGATTTAGCTAGAAGCAATTCATATGCTAATTGCAGAACATTAGGCAGCATTCTCTTCAATTAGATGGGGTTACAGCAAATACTCCAGAGGTAATAAAATTGTGTTTAGTTAAGATATTGTATTACATTCAGATTTTTCACTGATTCAAAAAGACCTTCTCTTAAATTAGACCAAATGGGTAGGTTGCCATCACAAGTAAGCTTTAGAGTTGAGACTCAGAGCCAGGAAATTTCATTTATTTTCCCTAGGCAAAATTTAAAGATTGTATCTAGTATATGGTATATGGTTTTAAGTCTCCACTACAACACAAGAGACTTGGTCTATTAAAAAATTATTGAAAGCATGATTTTAAAGACATTAAATATGTATGTTTGCATATACAATAAGAGATCATAAAAACAAAGTTTGATTCTTATTAATTGAAAAGCAAATAATGTTCTTAGAGAAAAGATAATCAAACATACCTTCCTCCTTACATTGGAGAAGTGGGAGACTACAAGGGCAGAATGTTGTATACACTGTGAGATTCAGACAATATACAAATTATTTTTGCTTTACTGCTTTTTTTTTAGTTACAATTCCAGAGCAGGGGTCGTTGTATCCAGAAATTTTCCAGAAATCGTTGTAATTTAAAACCAAACTAAAATATGGATATAAATAGTTATATTTTAAAGTAGCCTTCATAGTACCTTCTAGAATGTTGTACCCTAAATTGCTGTCTACCCTTGATCCCAGTTCTGTCTAGTCTTTCTACACATTTCAGACTCCAAATAAAATTGAAAAATAATTGATTAAAATGAGCCAGATGCCTCTGTCACTAGGAGGCAGTTGTTAGACTGTGGTCATGTCAGGTCACAGTAATAATCTTTCCCTATTGAATGTCTCCTTTCAATTTTTTTCAGTCTTCAGAGGGCTAGTTTCAATGTTGATAGCAGTTAAGCTTTTTTTTTTAATTGCTTTCTCCCCCAAAGATTGTAAAAGCTTTAAAGGTAGCCCTTTTTGGGTTGTTTGTCAATTTACCAAGTCTTTATTATGCACCTAAACACCAATTGGGAAAAGAGGAATGATGTATTTAGGAACACCTGTCGGCAAGGTATAGTCGAAAGCTTTGAAATCCGAGAACATGGGTTTAAATTTTATCTCTATCTTTGTGATCTTGGTCAAATGTTTAACCTCTCTGAGCCTCAATTTTCTCATCTGCAAAATGAAGGGGCTCAACTAAAATGACCATTAAAATCACTTCCAGTCTACTTCTATCAGTTTATCTTTCCCTCTGCCTCTCCACTCATTTTAACTGCAGTGACATCGGGAGGATATTCATTGCTAAAATGTTAGCTTTAAAAGACCAGGGAATTCTTCAGACAAATGGCGCAATATACAAAACTATCTTTTTATCTTTTTAATTCTGAAGAAATTTCTCTTTTAAGTTCTATCAGGTATTTGAAGCCTGATGTATAGTGTATCATACTAAATTGAAAATGAATTTAAATGTAAAATAACAGAAAGCAAAGTCCCCAACAAGGTTTTCCTTAAATTGAATAATGGGTTCCTGTGAACTAGGCTCTTAGTGCTTTTAATAACATTCAAAAGAAAAATATCAGCGGATGTTTTCATCTGTTGAGAAGGAGCAAGAAACAGAAGCAGAGTGGTTGAGAAGGGATTCCTCCTCTTCTATCAAAAGATGGGTTTGGGGTAGAGGAAGAGGAGAGAGGTTCTCTGTCTCTCTCTCTCTCCCTCCCTCTCTAGATATATGTAATGGCAGGGAGTTCGGAACGAGATGGAGAGGGGCGGAAGAAGAGGCCAGGAGAAGGGATGAGTGAGTGAAGAAAAAGGCATGAGGCCTGGGATTGGGGAGGGGGCTGTCCCAAGGCAAGGTCTGTCCCATGCGCCGGGTAGGCGCAGGAAGGAGCCCCAGATACCAGCACCTGTGCACACCGCGCTTTCCGCAGGCAGGCGGCAGCAGCTTCAGCACAGGCCCTTCCTTCTCTTACGCAAGTACAGGAGACTCGGGAGTTAACCGGGATCCTGCGGGCACGTGGAAGTAGCAGCTCTGGGCCTTTGGAATCCAGAAACTGTAGGGGAAAAAAGTGCAAAGTGGAAGCCTTAAGCAAAGATGTTTGCGGGCAGGAGAAGAGAAAAACAGCGAACTAATCCTGCGTCTAGGATACCGTTTTAGTCCTAGCTCTTTTCTAACCGGGGTCTCCCTCTCTCCCTCGCGCTCTCGGGAGCCCTAGAGAGTTTATGCAGGAGCTGCATTACAATGGGCAGCTAAGGATGGCAATTTCGAGGAGACCTGGGGAGGGTGAGGGGGGGCTGGATCACGCTCCGGGAACTAACTCCTCCCCGGTCTGCCGCCTCTCCTCTTTCTCTTATTTCTCTCTCTAGAGCCAGGCTGCCACTGAACCAGACAGATGCGCGCGGACACACACCCACACACACTCACTCACTCACATTCACACGTGTCCCCTTCAAGGAATATTAATAGGGGAGCACAGACACGCACACTGCGAACAGCTGCTGTCTTCATGAAAATGCCATGTTTATTTGGTAGTGCATGTTTACATACAGCTTAAAATTATTTTGCCACTTTCCTTATTTCTTCTGATTTCCCTCTCCCCCACCCTTTTTCGGCTCCTTTAGCTCCTCTGTCTTTCGGATTAATTCACTGTAAATAATCAGCTCAGTATGGAACGTCCCGCTTGTTTCCAGACTGAACGCTTTATTACTTCAGGGAATGCGATTGGGGGCAGGAGGGGAGGTGGGGGGTGTAAGGAAGGAGGAGGTGGTTAGAGAGAAAGAGCAAAGACACTGAATGACTGGGGGGGGGGAGTGCAAAGGGATTTTCTCTCCTGGTAGGCAGAAACAATTATATATACTATCATTAACAAAATTTACACACACATACACACCCTTTGATTGCATCCATCGTACAACTGTTACAGAAGGGCAGACGGGCCCTGCTTCCAGGTCTCTCTGGCTGGTTTAATGAGGTGCACCCAGCCCAAGCTATTGTGCTGCACGAAAAGAGAGGAAAGAGAAGGCACCGATATTAGCAGCTGCAAGGAGCAAGAATCAGCAAGCTTACAGCCCTGACTTCAGTGCCTTTGGAAGTATTTTACTGAAACGAAATCACCAATCACTGGAAGATTTGAGGCAGGGCTAGTGAACTTAGGTGGGGCTTTTCTCTTAGGTTTATCACGGTAGTGGTGGTGGTGGTGGTGTGGTGGTGGTAAGCAAGTCATTTCCTCTAGTCAAACGACCGCACAGATCAATTTCCTTTCCACCCACCCAATCATCCAACCCCTCAGCCCTTTTACCTTTTTGTTTGTTTGGGTGGGTCCCTCTTCCCTCTACCTCTCCTTTCTCCTTCCTTCCTCGTTTTCCTTCCCACTGAACACTGTTCCCCCTCTTCTCCCCCCTCCCCGCCCTGTTGGGTCTAAGTCCTCTTTGATTGTTAATTTAAATGTATTTCTGATTGGTTAACGTTTTCTCCTTTTTTGTTGTGATTATTAGAGATTCTTTAGCCCAGGCTTCCCCAGTTCTGCGCCCTGCAAAGCAGTTTTGAAAAATTAGTGCAAAAAGCATGACAAAGCACTATGAGGTTGCCATGGTAAGTGTACTTTTAAAAAAAAATTACAATTTCTTCTTGTGCTTTCGGTTTGTGGGTTGTTTAAACAGACTCATTACACACAAAGGGCTGGGGGCTGGGGAAAGATAGGGACAGTTAAAAACCCAGTAGATTTTATTTCTCTTTACTACTATTAGGGGAAAACAGGTCATTTTTATGTTTTATAGTTGTAACACAGAACCTGGTTTGGTAACCGACTTGATGCTGAGTTGGGGGTAGGCGGTAGGAAAACGAAGATTTGGGGGGTGAGAAAAGCATGAATTAGGTTTATTGTCTAGCTTTATATGAACCTTGCAAGCTCTAATTGCTAAATTCAACCTAGTGGTGACTGGGTCATTTCTGCTTTAAAAAAAAATGCTAGAGAGGGAACAGTGACTAGTTAAAAAATTCTCTTACTTGCCCCCTTCAGCTGCAGTTAAACCTCTGGTCTTCTTCCCTACCCCCACTCTTTGGTTTAATCCAGGTTACTCGTTAAGATTAGATGCCATCACCCTCAGGCACCTTTAGCCCTAAAAGATGCGCCAAATATTCAATTCTGAAAGGAAAGGAAAATTCGGGCTTGGAGGGGAGGAAAGGAGAAAATGCTTATCAAACACACACACCCTCTTTTAACCTCCCTCCCCAAAAAAGAAAAGAAAAGGACAGAACAAAAGCACCAAATGGATGGTTAAAAAGTCTCCCTGCAATGTCTTCCCCCTTTTATTTATCTGTCTTACACTAGTAACAATAGTTGTGAAGGATTTTCGAGATCTCTTGTTTAGCCATTTTCCTAGCATAACTGTCCAATTTAAGCAGTGGTGTCAAACTTAACAATATCAAGTTTGGTGAATGGCTGAACCTTTCCCATCCTTTAGAGAATTTTGTTATCTTGTGGGCTATACATTTTAGAAAAAGAGTTAATTGAGCTTAGTATTCTTAAACTTTTCTGTTTGGGGATCTACTAACCTTCTAAATCGTCACCAGCTGTTGCCATGGAAATGACTGCGATGCCCTTATATTGTAAGGGACCAGCATAATCAGTAAAATGCTGGGCAGACTACTCTTTCATTTCTGAAAGATGGAATGGGAAATACATTTCTTCCAAAGACGTTTGTGTGTGTTTCATTTTAAACAATTTATGAGTTTTTGATGTACTCTGAAATGCACATATAGAAATACATATGTGAATGTTCATGGATTCCTATTAGGATAAGAAATTGGAAAGATCCAGTCCAAACCGGTTATTTTTTTTTTCAGAACTAAGGCATTTTGTTTTTCCAAAGCTACTGTAAAACTTTGACTAAATAATAGCAAAGATCTCCCAAATATGAGACACGGAAGTTTTTTTTCTTCATTTTGCATCTTAATAATGGTAGACTAATTTCATTTGTTGGATATTTGTTGTAACATTTACTACACCTGCAGTTTTATGCCTATCCAGCTTTCCATAGGAAACTTGTAATTTACCAGTAACCTTATCTGCCTTACCTTTCAAACAAATCATTTCTTTTAGTCCTGCTACTTATAACTTGTGTGGATGTAGCACTTTTTAGTTTATGAGAACTTTTAAAACTGAAGCTATTATGCCATAGTATTAACCCATTGCTGCAAAAAAAGGTGACCGTATAAACTGTGTAAATATCTCAGAACATGTCAGAATATATTATGGCAAGAGAATAATTTTTGGTAGCCAGAATTTTCATTTAGAAGTTTATTTTTTTAAATGAATTGATACTTTTAATCACTAAGCAGTTAATTAATGAATTATCAAATCATACCATCATTGTCCCAGATGATGAAGAGATTAAATTCCAAAGGAACATATTTAATTCCATAACTACCTTTTATGTCAAATAAATAATAATCATAACTTAAAAGTATCATCACAAAGTAAATAATCACCATAAATTAATGGGTTGAATCAGCTTAACCAGCATGTTTTATTAAATGAATATAATCCATTTAAAAAAGTACTTTTAATGTAATTTTTCCACCTCTGTGTAGATGAAAATGTTATTATGGCTGAAAACAGCAAACAAAGAATAATTTCTTAAAGCAGACAACTCAGATTATAGACATTCTTACAGTAAGCATAGAATGAAGTGCTCCTCTAATGGCACCACAACTATTACTAAGTAGGTTTATTCATGTATTATATATAAATGTGTCTGTAGACACACATATAAATACATTTTTCTTTACTCTTTGGTAATATTTGAGCTCCCAAACATAAATATAGAGATTTCCTTTCATTGGAATTTAATACTATCCAACGTTGTCTGAAAGGATCTGATTCTAACACTATAATAGCAATACAAAAGAAACACAGTGGCTATGATCAGATACCCACCCACAATCTACCAGAGAAAATTTCATAAGTGAAAGAATATTCATAAAAATTAAGACCTAAGGCTTCTCTATAAGCAAAACCTGGTGCAGTAGTCATTGACTGCAACCTGTAGCATATTTAAGATTCTCTTTTAGAGTGATTGGATTATATCTTTAGTTAGGAGAAAAATAAAACACAACAAAACTAAGGAAAGGATGTAAAAGAGAAATGCCAAGACTTGGATCATTTAGCTATTGCATTTGCTTTTATAAAAACAGAAAACAAAAAAACCTGATGTATAAAGCAGCAAATAGGAGTGAGGGAACAGAGCCAAAGTTAACTTAGTCGTAGCAGTAACTATGTTAATAAAAAGCAATACAAAATGAAGATAAAAAGACTGTCATGTGTAGTAAAATATACAATGAATATTTTATTCTGTGATTTGTTTCTTATAATCTTTGATAAACCAAAATAGTTATTCATGGAATTAAAAAAAAGTCGAAGTTAAATAACTAAGATGTTTGTGCTTAACATAAGTTATGAGTGATGTATTAGAAAACTATGAGAGATAATATAATAAATTACAGTTCAATATAAAATGGAATTTCTGTCAGTTTTTTTTTTTACATAATCTTCATTAGTGCCAAAGATGGGGAGAGTTTTCTTTTTAAACACATATCTATTTGGTAAAACACAAGCTGTATTAAGACATATACACTGAGTTGGTTTTGAACATATGGGCTTAGTATAGCTAGTCAATTTGTCCCTGGTATGTATAACTACTCAGTCTGTGAGTTAATAGCAAAAATACTATGTCTACAAAAAAAAAAGTATGTGTATGTCTATATGTATGTATTAGCATATATGCATATATATGAAATATATGACAACAACTATTTCATAAAAGGAAAAATTTATCACAAACTCATCAATGCATATTAAATAGACTGGAATAAAACAAACTACATCTGCTTCAAAGAATATAGTATTGTGATTTTCATTAACTTCAAATTCAAAATCTTTAGGATTATCGTAGGATGTTGAGGTTGTTTTGAGGTATAAATTATTACTACTTGATTGCATAAATCTTTATGGATATTTTGATCCTTTAGGTTAAGTGCACATATCAAAATGTGATTAAGTTATGAGTTTTACCTTTCTCTAATATAGCCACATTTCAAGAAAAGAAGCTCTTTATATAAAATTCTGTGAATCAAAATAGACTATATTGTAGAAATTCATGACAATAAACAAATAAAAGCTAATGGAAAAGATAAATAATTTAAAATTTATTGTTCTCTTTTCTATAAACAGACAAGGCCCTAATTTTAAATTTATAATATTCACTGTGAGAATAAGTGAGAAATTAAAATATTTTCTGTTAAGAAGTGAAAAGGTCTCAACATTTTTCCTTGGCCAAATGCTCTATTTTTATTCTGTTTTTCTTATGCACCTTCTTTATAAAACCTTTTTTTTTTGTATGGTCTCATCTATAAGAAGGTAGGAAATGTATTTGGGGCTGGCATAGTGAAAAATGAATCTGGTAATTTTTTTCTACTTATATACTTATTAGGCTACATTTTCATAGGTAAAATGAAGTGTAGATGTGATTCATTTATTGGGGGGGGACCAAGATAATACTGGAAAAGATATTTGGGTCAAAATTATCAGTATTCAACAGAAAGTCATATAACTACATTTTGCCTATAGAAAAGAATCTTAAAGTATTTAAAATAACTACATATTCACTCTGAAATAAATGTGTTCCTGAAAAGTGTATAAATCAAATTTTTGAAAATCAGGTTACTTTTAAGTGTATTAAAAGAGCTTACCACTTAAAGGAAACTTGAATCTTTTTGTCAAGTGAAGATTCCTTTTTTAATGCAATTTATCTTTTTTATAAGTTTCAGATGTTCTTAGGGTAAGAATCGTGTGCTATGTTTCAAGCTACATTGTTTAAAAGGTTTTATAGGGTTTTTTTTTTGGAAGAAGTGAATACATGAATCAAACAAAACACACGGGCATGCTCATACACACACACACACACACACACACACACAAAACCTTAT